TCCCATCCTCACAGGAGCCTCCCTGACCCCCATCCCCTCCCCTCCCCTCCCTCCTCACCCCTTTCCCCTCAGTCCCCAAAACGCCCCAAAACGCCCGAAAAAAACCCCAAAATTCCCTCAAAACCCCCCCGGACCCCCCGTCCTGCCCTCAGTTAAGATGGCGGCGCCCCCGCCTCACGTTTTCCAAGATGGCGGCCGCGCCGCCACGCGTTCCCGCGCTGCCAGGCTGCCCTCACTCAAGATGGCGCCGACCCCATGTTAACCAACGGCGCTGAAGCCAAGGCCAGTAACCCGGATGTAGCCGCCATGTTGCCCTCACCCAACATGGCGCCGCCCTCCCCGTGTTTCCCTATGGACGCGAAGCCGCGGCGGGCGCGCGAGTGCCCGGATGTGGGCGTGGCTTTCCCGCTGGGTGAGGGCGTGGCCTCGGCCTGCCGGAAGTTGCGTCAGGGCGGAGCCGCCCGCGGGGAGCGGGGAGCGAAGCGGACGGAGCCAAGATGGCGGCGCCGGGGCTGGGCCGGCCCTGAGGGGCCGTGAGGGGCCGGGAGGGGCCCCCGCGCTCGGCGGGCTGGGACGGGCCGCAGGGGGGGCCCCGCCGCTCCCCCCGCCGCTCCTCGCGACGCTGCCGCCGCCGGAGCCTCCCCGGGGCCTGACCGGAGCCTCCCCGGCAGAGAAGCGGGGCCTGCTCGGGGCCTTTTGCGGCCTTACCGGGGCCTCCCCGCGGCCTTACCGAGGCCTCCCCGCGGCCTTTCGGGGCTCGGCGGGGCCGTTTGGGGCCTGCCCGGGGCTCGGCGGCGCCGTTTGAGGCCTGGCCGAGGCTTGAGCGGGGCTTTTTGGGGTCGAGCCGGGCCCTTCCCGAGGCCTCCGGGGCCGAACCGGGGCTCTAAAGGCCTTTAACGGGAAGAACCCCCCGGTGCTCCCGGTTTTGGTTCTTTCTCTCCGGAATTTGGGGCCGATTTCAGCCGAAATCGCTGTAAAATCGGAGCTTTTTCGTTTTGTATTTGTCTTATTTAACAGCAGCGCTTTTCCCGTTTTTTTCCCCCCGGGATTTCGTCTCCTCCCAAGGGTCAGAAAATCCCGGGATTTGAGGAGCGGGATGAAATTCCAAGGATTTCTTCACTCGAGCGAGGTTTTTTTGGCTTTTTTACTGCGGTTTTTGCTTTGAGCGAACCCAAATCCGTGGGAAATCCGTGATCCAGGGAATTCCTCCCTCGGGAATGCTGTCCCTGGAACCAGGAATGACTTAAGGGTAACGCCGCACTTGGCTTTTCCTCGATAAATTATTATTTAGGAATTTAAGGAAAAAGAAAAAGGTTTCTTTTGGATAAAAATCCGGTGTTTTCCGACAAGGACTGCCAGCCATCCCGGCCTCTGGAATTGCGGCCGCCGCTGGAACTTTGGGAGCCTCCGCGGGGGATTTTTGAGGAGTTTTATTTAAAAAAAAAAAAAAAAAAGAATTAAAACAAAAAGAAAAATCCAAGGAGGAGGGAAAAAGGGGATCGAAGATTCCTGGGAAACGCTCCCGCTCGGGATTGCAGGGATCCGGGCACGGCTGGGATCGCTCCTGGCTGAGGTGAGTGTCCAGGGATTTGGGATTGCCGGGATCCATCCAGCGCTGCCCGCGGGGGATCGGGAGGGATCCGGACGGTCCTGATGGATCTGGAGAGGTTCAGGATGGATCTGGAGAGGTTCAGGATGGATCCGGAGGGGTCTGGGATGGATCCAGAAGGTCCTGATGGATCTGGAGAGGTTCAGGATGGATCTGGAGGGGTTCAGGATGGATCTGGAGAGGTTCAGGATGGATCTGCAGGGATTTGGGATGGATCCCGATGGTCCTGATGGATCTGGAGAGGTTTGGGATGGATCCAGGGAAGGCTGGGATGGATCTGGAG